CCAAGAGAGCCCCAAGTCGGCCCAGAGTGGCCCCCAAGACGGTTTCCGACGGTGTCAGACGGGCTAGGAGCCCACAAAGATGGCCCCGAGAAGCCCCCGAAGGCCCCCAAGAGGCCTCCAAGAGGGCCCCAAGGATGCCTCCAAGAGACTCCCAGGAAGCTGCCAGGAGGCTTCAAGTGTCCCCAGAGGCTCCCAAGATGCCCCCTCCTCCTCCTCCTTCTCCTCCACCTCTTCCTCCTCCATCTCCTCCTCCGCCTCCTCCTGATCTTCCCCGCCACCCTCCCCCACGTGTTACCCGAAGGGTTTCCACAACGGCTGGAGGAACACATGGTCCGATAGCTTGGAAGAGCTCTTGCCACAACGCTCGGCCACATGGGCGATTCTAGACGGCAGGGGGCGGCGGTGATTCGCCGTAGGCGTCTTCGATCCGCCGCCCCCTGTTGGCTTGCCACAAGGGTGCCCGGCGTGCTAGATCCTTTCCAGTTTGCTTTTGGTTCTTTTTCCAAAAGAACTCCCCCTGAGGCTTCGGCCCGTCCCGCCGGCCACCCGGAAAAGCGCATAAAAGGTAGTTACAAAGGGTTGTTCGGCTTTAGACTGCTCAAAGATGGCCTCCAAGATGGCCAAGATGGCCCAAGAAGTTCGCCAAAGATGGTCCAAGATGGCCTCGAATATGACCCACGAGACTCAACGATGCCTCCAAGTTCGCACAAGAAATACCTAAGACGGCCCAAGACGGCCCCAGAGGCCTCCAAGAGGCCTCCAAGACGGCCGACGAGGCCTCGAAGAGGTCCTCCAGGGTCCTCAAGGACGGCCCGAAGAGGTCAAAATCATTGATTGTCCTGAGGTTTTTGAAGGATTTGGGTTTCTGCTCCATTTCGGCCTTCCGACGGCCCAAGACTGCCCAAGAGGATATCAAGATCGCCCCTAGAGTGCCCAAGAAGCCTCCAAGACGGCCCCAGGACGGCCCAAGGGGCCCCAGATGGCCTCCAAGACTGCCAAGATGGGCTCCAAGATGCCTCCAAGACGGCCAAGATGGCCTCCAAGACGGCCAAGGTGGCCCCAAGATGCACCCAAGACGGCCCAAGATGGCCTCAAGATGGTCTAAGACTGCCCAAAAGCCCGCGAGATGCCTCCGAGACGGCCCTAGAGCCCTCCAAGACGTCCTCCAGGAAGGCCCGACAAGGTTAAAATCATTGATATTCCATCGGTTTTTGATGGATGCGGGCTTCTGCTCCTTTTCAGCTCTCCGACGGCCCAAGACGGCCCAAGCGACCCCCAACATCGACCCGAGAGCGTCCAAGAGGCGTCCAAGATGGCCCCATGACAGCCCAAGAGGCCCCGAAGAGGTCCCCAAGACGGCCCAAGAGGCCCCCAAGACGGCCCAAGATAGCCTCCAAGACGGCCAAAATGGCCTCCAAGATGCCTCCAAGACGCCCCAGATGGCCGTCAAGACGGCTAAGATGGCCCGAAGATGCATCCAAGACAGCCCAAGATGGCCTCAAGATGACCTCAGATGGGCCTATAGGCCCTCAAGAGGCCTCCAAGACGGCCCAAGAGCCCTCCAAGACGTTCTCCAGGAAGGCCCGAGGAGCCCAATATCATTGATGCTCCTTAAGTGTTTCAAGGATTGTTGTTTATTATTATTTCAGCTCTCCGACGACCCAAGACGGCCCAAGAGGCTCCCAACATCGTCCCAAGAGCGCCCAAGAGGCGTCCAAAATGGCCCCATGACAGCCCATGAGGCCCCCAAGAGGGCCCCAACAAGACGCCAAGACGGCCCAAGATGGTCCCCAAAACGCCCAAGATGGCATCCAAGACGGCCAAGATGGCCTCCACGATGCCGTAAAGACGGCCAATGATGCCTCCAAGACGGCGAAGATGGCTCCTCGTCGATGCCTCCAAGAAGGCCTCCAAGACAGCGAAGATGGCCCAAAGATGCACCCGAGACGGCCACAGATGGCCTGAAGATGGCCTTCGAAAACCCCAAAGCCCCGCCAGAGGTCTCCAAGACACGGAAACCACCTGGTCCGATAGCTCGCCCGACTCGGTGTTTCCCGAAGGCTTTCGAAACCCACTCGGGGAACGCGTGGCCTGATAGCCTAGCCAAGCTCAAACCCAACTTTCGGCCAAGCAGGCGCTTCCAAAAAGGCAGGGGGCGGCGGTGATTCGCCGTATGTATGCGTCTTCGATCCGCCGCCCCCTGTTGATTCATCAAAAGGGTGCCCGGCGTGCTGAATCCGTTCGCTTTTGGTTTTGGTTCTTTTTCCACAAGAACTCTCCCGCCCGCCCGCCGGGGTCCTGGAATGGCCGGGAAAGGGTGGTTCCAAAAGTTGTTCCTGCTCCAGATGTCTCCAAGATGGCCTCCAACATGGCCAAGATGGCCCAAGATGGCGCCCAGGTTCGCCCAAGATGGTCCAAGATGGCCTCCTAGACGGCCCAGGAGAGGCCAAGATGCCTCCAAGTTCGCGCAAGAAACCTCTCAGACGGCCCAAGACAGCCCCAGAGGCCTCCAAGAGGCCTCCAAGATGGCCCAAGAGGCCTCCAAGAGGTTCTCCACGAGAGCCAGAAGAGGTCCTCCACGAGAACCACGAGAGCCAAAATCATGGATGTTCATTAGGTTTTTGAAGGATTTAGGATGTTCTTCTTTTCGAGCCTTCCGACGGCTCACGACGGCCCAAGGAGCCCGAAAGATTGCTTCCAGAGCGGCCAAGAGGCCTCCAAGATGGCCCTATGACGGCCCAAGAGGCCCCGAAGAGGTCCCCAAAAGGGCGCCAAGACGGCTCCAGAGGCCTCGAGACGGCCAAGATGGCCTCCAAGATGCCTCCAGCACGATCAAGATGAGCTTCAAGACGGCCAAGATGGCCGCTGAGACGGCCAAGATGGCCCAAGATGGGCCCGAGAGGTTCCAAGATTTCCCCAGAGGAGTCCAAGAGGTGCTCCAGGAAGGCCCGAGGGAGCCAAAATCGTCAATGTTCAGTCGTGGTGCTTGTTTTTTCCTCGGTTTTGGTGTTCCGACCGCCTAAGACGGGCCCAAGGAATGCCCAAACTAGTCCCAGAGGCCTCCTAGATGGCTTCAGTACGGCCCAAGAGGCCTTCAAGACAGCCCCAAGAGGGCCTAAAGACAGCACAAGAGGTCTCTAAAACTGCCAAGATGGTCTCCAAGATGCCTCAAGACTGCCAAGATGACCTCCAAGACGACGAAGATGGCATCCAAGACGGCAGAAATATCCCCAAGAGAGCCGAAGGTGGCCCAAGAAGGCGCCCAAGATGCCTCCAAGACAGCCCAAGATGCCTCCAAGACGTCCTCCAGGAGGCCCCAAAGCTCGGAAACCACCTGGTCCGATAGCTCGCCCGACTCGGTGTTCCCCGAAGGCTTTCGAAACCCACTCTGGGAATGCGTGGCCCAATATCTTGGCCAAGCTCAAACCCAACTTTCGGCCACGCAGGCGCTTCCAAAAAGGGGCGGCGGTGATTCGCCGTAGGCGTCTTCGATAATAGAGGCGTCGGCTCCGAGAGGATGCGGCAACGTCTTGGCGCAGACAGACCTCGCTGGCACACTTCGTCGAACGGCGCTGCGGGGCTCCCCCGGACATCTCGCTGCGCCGACGCAGCCGAGAAGGAGCCAGTCGCTCTCTAAGGGGGGGCCAGCGCAAGAAAACGCGGCCCAGACCGCCCACGCTGCCGGGGACACCTCTGCCTCGGCGAAAAGCGACGGGCGCGGACACCACAAAAAAGACACCGCCTGCCGCCGAAGGGGGTCACGTCGAAGCCTACCCCCTCCGCTGCCAGGAGGGAAGCGGGCCCCGAGGGACGCGAGACCTGGACCCCCGGGGGCTCTCGTCAGGACTGGCCTCTCCTCCAGAGCCGCCTCCTGGCCCTCCTGTGGGGCCCCCGGGGAGGCCCTGCCCGAGAGCCCCGAGCGTGGGGCGGAGAGCCTCTGGGCTCCTTCCCCTCGGCACCCGCGTGCCTCCTCTTTGGACACCCGAAATGGGCACCGAAAGAATGGGCAACATGCCCAACAACAAACGTTGTCCCGAACCAACAGCGGCCGCTGTTGTGCAGGCGGCCTTCTGTCTCAAATGAACACAGGCCGCGGCGGCGCGGACAGCGAATCCTGTTCAGAATGAACAGGAACTGCTGTTGGGCATCGTACCCATTCTTTCCGTGCCCATCTCGGGCGTCCAGATCCTCCTGGCGACTCCCTGCGCGGGTCCTGCGCCCGGCGCTCGGGGCGCTGGCCGAACAAGGACCCCCCCCCTCGTGAAGCAGCCAGAACAGAGCCGCGAGGGCTCTGCCACCACGCGGGTCCAGCCACGCGCGTCCGCGCGCGGCAGGCGGCCCCTCGCCATCGCTCGGACGTCAATTGTTTGTGTTTTTTGTTCGGTTTCGTGCGTGGTTTTTTCGCCAGGTGATCAAGGATGTTCCTCGATGGCCCTCGCCGAAGGAAAAATGCACACGTCCGAGCGATGCCAAGGCCCTGGAGTCACGGGGGCCGTGCGGGCGCCCCGTCGGGCCCCGCGGAGGCGGGCTCCCCCGGCCCCGGGCGCTCCCCTCACGCGGGCGCGCGGGCGGCGCTCCGCTCGCCCCTCTCCGCGTCCACGAGGGCGCCGGGGTGGGCCCCGCTGCCCGCCGGGCCGCCGCGCGGGGGGGGCGGCGCCCGCTTCCGCAGCGCGTGCCGCGCCAGCAGGGCCCCGAGGGACGCGCCGGCCGCCACGACGAGGAGGCGGGCGACCAGCCTCCGCGCCCCGACGTCGGCCTCGGCCTCGGCCTCGGGCGCCGCGGGCTCGGAGGCTGCCGCCGGCGCGAGGGCAGGCCCGTGGGGCTCCGGGGCCGCCTCCAGGAGGCGGCGACCTGGCTCGCAGAGCCTCCACCCGCGCCTCGTGACGCTGAAGTCGGAGGACCACAAGATGCTGGAGGACGGAGTGAGGCCGTGGGGGCGGCGGCGCCTGCCGCTGAACTGCCGCCCGTCGACCACGAGGTAGTCGAAGTACGATTCTACATCAAAGTCCGCTGAGGCGTGCCCCCATGGCACGCTGAGGCGTGGCAGCATGCCGAGTGCTGTCCGGTGGTGCTGCTGCAGTCTTCTCGACGGGGCCCCTCCCGGGCGCAGAGTGCTGCACGCACCGCCCCATCCTCCTCCCGAGGCCTCATTGGCGTTATGGCGCCTCCCTGGCGCTACCCGAGACTCTCCAAGGCTGCCAAGGCGGCCGAGGGAGACCACCAAGGCCGCCAAGATGGCCCCAAATGCCTCCACGACGACCCACGATGGCCACAAGCACAACACAATGCAATGAACTCTGGACACGGCACAAGATGGCTTCAAGAGGACTCCCAGGAAGGCCCCACGCGGCCAACATCCCTGACTGTCCTGAAGCATTTTAACATCCTTCGCATTCTCGCTGTTTCAGGCCTCCGTGAGCCCGAGATGGCCCGAGCACGCGTCACGGCTTCCTCTGCGCTGCTCGAGCAATCGCCATCCAGAGTGCTGCTGGACTGGCACGGTGGCGTGACTTGCCGCAGGCAGCTGGATACTCTACGGCGATGGGTGCTGCGTTCGCCGCGTTGATCTCAATCGTGCACTGCTGGCTGTTGCCGTAATACTGCGGGTAGTTCGGGCTCTGCACGCATGCGCCGTCTTGCACGCACGGGCCTGAAATGGCACCCCACATGCTCCCAGAACCGGGCGTCGGTGCAGCGGTCGGCGAATGAGTCGGCGCAAGAGTCGGCGCAACTGTCGGTGCAACGGTTGGTGAAGCGGTCGGCGATGGCGTTGGTGCTGTTGTCGGAAGGGGTGCAGGTATTGACACTGGCATGCAGAATTTCCACCCGCTCCGCGTAACACTAAAGTCTGACGACCACATGATACTGTACCACGGGGTGAACCCAGACGGACCCAAAGTTCCAGTATATGCTTTCCATCCGTCGATCAAAATGTAGTCGAAATACGACTCTACATTGAAAGCCTCCACGACGATCGGTCCTGCGTTGGACGCGTCGATCTCAATCGTGCACTTCTGGTTGTTGCCGTAAGGCTGCGGATAGTTCGCGCTCTGCACACATGCACCGTCTAGCGTACACGCGCCGGAAATGGCCGCCCACATGTGCGCAGAACTGGGCGTCGGTGCTGCAGTCGGCGAAGCAGTCGGCGCGGGAGTCGGCGCGGCTGTCGGTGATGCTGTCGGTGCTGCTGTTGGCGAAGTTGTCGGCGCAAGAGTTGGCGCGGCTGTTGGTGCTGTCGTCGGTGCTCCTGTCGGTGTTGCTGTTGGGGAAGCGGTCGGCCCGGCTGTGGGCGCGGCTGTCGGTGCAACTGTTGGGGAAGCGGTCGGTGCTCTCGTTGGTGCTGCAGTCGGCGGCGCTGCAGTTGGAGAAGCGGTCGGCGTTGCCGTTGGCGTCGCAGTCGGCGCGGCTGTCGGTGCTGCTGTTGGGGAAGCGGTCGGCGCTGCCGTTGGTGCTGCAGTGGGCGCGGCTGTCGGTGCTGCTGTTGGGGGAGCGGTCGGTGCTTCAGTGGGCACTGCAGTCGGCACATCAGGCGCAGCTGTCGGCGCCTCGGTCGGTGCTGCTGTTGGGGAAACGGTCGGTGATGCTGTGGACCCAGCTGTCGGGACTGCTGTGGGGGACGCAGTCGGTGCCTCCGTCGGTACTGCAGTCGGTGAAATTGTCGGTGCTGCTGTTGGCGTTGCCGTTGGCGTCGCAGTCGGCACGGCTGTCGGTGCTGCTGTTGGGGAAGCGGTCGGCGCTGCCGTTGGTGCTGCAGTGGGCGCAGCTGTCGGTGCTGCTGTTGGGGATGCGGTCGGCGTGTTCGTTGGTGCCGTAGTCGGCGCAGCTGTCGGTGCTGCTGTTGGGAGAGCGGTCGGCGCCGCTGTCGTTGTAGCTGGAGGTGCGGGTGATGGCGTCGGGGGCGCCGTCCAATCCCCAATCAACCCGGTCATCCAATCCCGTGCATAAGTGACCCGGCTCCAAACTCCAGGGAAATTCTGAATGCCACATGATACAGGTCCCCATGAAACGACACCGTGAAGGAAGTAGCTGCCGCCTGAAGCGCAGACAATGGGTCCTCCACTGTCACCCTGACATATATCGGTTACCAACCCGCCGTTGGAGCCCTGAGCGCACAGCATGTCATCGGTGATCGTCATCCCTGACATGCCCCATTGAGCCTGGCAATCTGCATTTGTCCAAGTGGTCACCCCACCCTCCTGCAACAAGTCAGGGACACTCCCTCCATTCACCTTCCCCCACCCAGTGGTGAAGCACTCTTCACCCGCACCGATGTCCTCCGCTGGCAAGCACGCGAGGCCGATACAGTCGTTCAACGGAGCCGCACTTGCCAACTCCAAGAGGACATAGTCGTAGCCCTGATCCCAATTGACATAGTTTGGATGAGTGTGCACTTGCTGCACCTCCAGCCGCACCCCTACAGTATCCGATTGGGACTGGCTGTGAAGGCCCGCGACGACCCAGAACGAGGAACGAGGGAAGCAGTGGGCGGCCGTCAAGACCCAATTCGGGGCGATGAGCGTTCCTCCGCAAAAGTGTCCGCCCGAGGTCTGGAGCGACACCTGCCACGGCCACTCGCAACGCGTGGCCGCCTGCCCCCCGAAGATGCGCTGGCTACCCGCTGTCCATGGAGTGCTGTCGGCACCCTTCGCGCCGCAAGTCGATGCCGCGCAGAGCTGCGCCAATGCTGTGCACGCGAGAGCCGCAGAAACAACTCTCATGGTGCCTTCCGGTCCAGTCTCGTTCGGCGATGTCGGTGCAGATGTTCCGCAGAGCCCGCGTGAGCAAGCGCGCCAATGTTACGAGGTGGTGCCTGAGCCACAGTGGTCACGGAGCCCTCCCTCGAGGTCCCTGGGAAGAAGGGGTCGCTGCCGGAGGTCGGCGGCGCCAGCGGGAGGCCCCGCGCCAGCCTCTCTCGCATCCCCTCCTCGGGGGAGGCGTCGTTCGGGAGGCCCTTCCCCTGGAGGTCGCGTGGGGGCCCTCCTTCCCTGACCTTCCAGAGCGCTAAAAAGTAGCACTCCAGACCTATAGACCTATCTGGACTGCCTCAAACCTCGACAGGAATTAGGACGTCGACGTCCTGGTGCTATTTCTTAGCCCTCCTGGAAGGTCAGGGTTCGGGGGCCCCGGGAGGCCCCCGGGGCTCTGCAGGACGTGCAGGACGCTCACCGACGGGCCCCTGTGGAAGCGCTCGGGCTGCCCCGGGAGGCGCCACGACAGCGGCCGGCCCAGGGCCCGAGGCGGCCTCGCGGACGCCTCCGCGCACGTGGGCGGCGCGGGCGGGCCGCCTCGCGCCGTCCGCCCATGGCATGCCCGGGAGGACCCCGCGGGAGGCTCCCGCAGGGAGGCCCTGTGGAGCTCCTTATGGGGACATCCCTGCCTCCGCCGCGGTGGACCCTGGGCCGAGAGAGGGGAGGCCCCGGAGCCCCTTGGGCCCCGGGAGAGCGGTCCGGAGGCCCTGGAGGCTGCGGCGGGGCCGCGCATCGCCCTGGGCACGACGGCCAGGCCGTTCCACGCAGTCCGGCGTCGTGCCACCAGGAGTGCTCCACGCGGTGCGCTGCAGGAGTGTCCAGGCTTGCTTCGCGGAGGGCTGCGCAAGCGTGAACCGAAGGCCCGAGACCCGAGACTCCAGGCCCGGAACTGGTCCACTCTACTCGCCACGGGGGCACGCATGCGGGACGGATGGATGAGACAAGTCCACTCACGCTCGTCGCGTAGCAACGCAGGAGGAGCGAACAGCAACACCGTTCTAGTCGACTCGTCGCGTCGCAACCCAGGAGCGCGAACATACAGAGGGATCCCGGCGTCATGTTGCTTCCGAAGCCTGGCGTCACAGAGGAAGGGCAGGGGGGGATGTTGCTTCCGAAGCCCATTCCCCCTGGGTCAACCCTCCCATGTCGTTGCCCCCACCCTTGGTCAGTCCTCCCCCCTGCCGTCCCGGACATCCGACGAGGCTATGTGTTCAATGTGCGCGGTCCCAGAGGTCACGACCTCTTCCATAGGGGTAATCCTGCACCTTGGATCCAATCTAGACAGTCCGTCCAGATCTGGGGCTGCATCTGATCTGGAGATCAATAAATCAGGACCTCCAACAATACTTGACTATGCGCGCAAGGGCGTGAAGGGAGGGGGAGGGCATCTTCAACGGAAGATGCTTATCAAAAGGCGCCTGCCCTACGCCTTCTAAAATGCAGGGGTGCTTCGAAGGAGCCCTCCCCCTCCCCCCACCCCATTTGCGAGTGTCTGAAATACGAACTTTCCATGCACGACGGGTATGAGTAGCGTTGAGCCGACCCCTATCCCCACAGGCGTGGCCTGGGCCGCACTGGCCGATGAACCCCCCTGGAACGGGATACAGGCCGCCTCATTCGGGCAACGAGGAGTCTATCCCAAACTGGGACTGGATGGGGATCTGGATGGGGCCGTGGAGGTAACGGAGGAGAAGGAGGAAGAGAAGGAGGAGGAGGAGGAGGAGGAGGAGGACGAGGAGGCGGAGGAGGAAAAAAAGGAGGCGAGGAGGAGGAGGAGGAGGAGGAGGAGGAGGAGAGGAGGAGGAGGAGGAGGAGGAGGGGGAGGAGGAGAAGGAGGAGAAGGAGTGGGATGAGGATGAGGAGGCAGAGGAAGGAGGTTGAGGACAAGGAGAAGGAGGAGGAGGAGGGAGAGGAAGAGACGGAGGTAGAAGGAGGAGGAGCCAGGAGGAGGAAGACGAGGACGACGAGGACGAGGAGGAGGAGGAGGAGGAGGAGGAGGAGGAGAGGAGAAGGAGTGGCCAGTTCAACGATACCGAGGGGAGAAGGAGAAGGAGGGGAGGGAGAGGGGAGAAGGAGGGGTAACTGCCCCGACGATCCTCGACTGAACTCTCGAGGGCGGGCACCGCGCGGCACGCCGCGCGCCGCCCGCCGGGGGAGCGTGCGCGGCTGAGCGGCCGGCTGCTGACGAGGCGCTCGGCGGCCGCCCGCGACCAAATCTGCGCCTGCGGCGGGCCCGCGAATCCGAACACGCTCCTCCGCTCGCTCTCCCCTCGCGTCTCCTCCTCCTTCTGCTCCCTCTCCTCCTCCTTCTCCTCCTCCTCCTTCCTCCTGCCTCTCCGCCCTCCTCCCTCGCCTCGTCCCCGTGTCTCCTGCTCCCTCTCCCTCTCCCTCTCCCTCTCCCCTCCCTCTCCCTCTCCTCCTCCTCCCTCCCTCCTCCTCCTCCTCCTCCTCCTCCTCCTCCCTCCTCCTCCTCCTCCTCCTCCTCCTCCTCCTCCCTACTCCCTCTCCTCCTTCTGCTCCTCCCTACTCCCTCTCCTCCCTGTGCTCCGCTCCTCCCTACTCCCTCTCCTCCTGTCTCCTCCTCCCTCCTCTCTCCTCTCTCTCTTTCTCTTTCTCCCCTCCGCTCCTCATCCTCCCTCTACTCCCTCTCTTCTCCTCCCGCTTCTCCGCCCTCGCCTCCGCCCTCTCCATCACCATCCTCCTCCTCCTCCTCCTCCCCTCCTCCTCCTCCTCCTCCTCCTCCCTCCCTCCCCTCCCTCCCTCCCTCCCTCCCTCCCTCCCTCCCTCCCCTCCCCTCCCTCCCTCCCTCCCTCCCTCCCTCCCTCCCTCCTCATATCTGTGCTCTGTAACGAATTGCTGTCGCCAAAGCACAACGGTTAGGCTGATTCGTGGCGCTGAAGTCCCGAGAACGGTGCTTTGGCGCGCTCCAGGATCTTCAAACGGTTGCCTCCCAACGGGGCACTCCCCCCAGTGGAGATGAACCCTTGTGATTGTGGGGCGTGTGACGAGGCAGCTCGGGGGGAGGTGCCATCCCAACGCCGCTGATGAGGCTCGGGTTCATGCAGTGGCCCCCCTCCGTCTCGTTCGCGCTCCCGTCTCGTCTCGTCTCGCGCCCGGTAGCCGTTTCGTCTCGCGCCACTCCTGCGGGCAATATTTATATCCATATCCAGTGCGTCTTGGACTTTCTTGGAAGGGGCGCCGCAAGGCCGAGGCGCACTGGATATGGATAAACATAGAGCTTTTTGGAGGCAAATTATAATCCATACCCTGTGCGCCACACGTTTCTTGGGAAGAGAGCCCGAAACTCCAAGACGCACTGGATGTGGATAAAGACATTGCCCGCAACTCCCTCTCCTCACCCCCCCCTCGTCTCGCGCCCGGTAGCCGTTTCGTCTCGCGCCACCCCCCCCCCCTCCTCCCCCTCCTCCTCCTCCTCCTCCTCCTCCTCCTCCTCCTCCTCCTCCTCCTCCGCCTCCTCCTCCGCCCTCCTCCCTCCCTCCTCCTCCTCCTCCCTCCTCCTCCTCCTCCTCCTCCTCCTCCCTCCTCCTCCTCCTCCTCCTCCTCCTCCTCCTCCTCCTCCTCCTCCTCCTCCTCCTCCTCCTCCTCCTCCTCCTCCTCCTCCTCCTCCTCCTCCTCCTCCTCCTCCTCCTCCTCCTCCTCCTCCTCCCTCCTCCTCCTCCTCCTCCTCCTCCTCCTCCTCCTCCTCCTCCTCCTCCTCCTCCTCCTCCTCCTCCTCCTCCTCCTCCTCCTCCTCCTCCTCCTCCTCCTCCTCCTCCTCCTCCTCCTCCTCCTCCTCCTCCTCCTCCTCCTCCTCCTCCTCCTCCTCCTCCTCCTCCTCCTCCTCCTCCTCCTCCTCCTCCTCCTCCTCCTCCTCCTCCTCCTCCTCTCCTCCTCCTCCTCCTCCCTCCTCCTCCTCCTCCTCCTCCTCCTCCCTCCTCCTCCTCCTCCTCCTCCTCCTCCTCCTCCTCCTCCTCCTCCTCCTCCTCCTCCTCCTCCTCCTCCTCCTCCTCCTCCTCCTCCTCCTCCTCCTCCTCCCTCCTCCTCCTCCTCCTCCTCCTCCCTCCTCCTCCTCCTCCTCCTCCTCCTCCTCCTCCTCCTCCTCGCCTCGCGCCCGGTAGCCGCTCTGCTCTGCCCCCGACTGCCGCGCCGCCCGCCGTGGCCCGAGCCGCGTGGCGCCCGCGGACCCCCCCGCGCTGCCCCCGCCGGCCGCCCGCGGAGCGCCGCGGGCGGCCCCCCTCCGCTGCGGGGGCCGGCCCACGCTGCGCGCCACGGAGCGGCTCGCCGCGCGCTGCGCGCCGCCGACTGGGCATCGCTCGGACGTCCATTCCCTGTGTTTTGTTCGGTTCCGTGCGTGGTTTTTTTCGCCAAATGATCAAGAATGCTCCTCGATGCTCCTCGCCGAAGGAAAAATGCACACGTCCGAGCGATGCCAGGCCGAGGGCCTCTGCAGGGCCGCGACAGGGCGCAGCGAGAGGCCCCGCGTGGCCGCGCCGCCGCCGCGCCGTCGCCGCCCGCGGCCCGCCCACCGTGGTACAACGGCCTCGGAGGCGCCCGCCGCACCGAAGGCGGCCGGGACGCCTGCTGGCGGCGGTCCTGCGCCGCGGCGGCGCCGCCGACGCGCTCGGCGCGGCGGCCACGCGAGCGAGGCGCCCCAGGGCGTGCTGGAGATGGCTGACGTCGGGATGGTGAGAGTTTCTCTGATTCGGCGTTTCGACATTGGGCGGAAGGGGGGAGAGGGGGGGGGTCTGGCTCCGGATCTCTGCTGAGTGCGACTGTTTGCAGCACGTTCTACGAGGGGAGACCCCACCTGTTCGAAACAGGCGCCAACAACAGCCAAGATCTACTCCATGGGGGGTCCGGGGGGGGGTTGCGCCCATCGGCAAAACAAGGAATACGAGAACGACCATAGAGAGGCTGCAGCTGGCAGCGAGCCAGCCGACGACAGCTGGGCGGACTCGGCGCCCACGGTGGCTCGCGGCACGCGGCGCGGAGCCGCTCTGAGCCGCCCGACAGCCGCGCTGCTATTCGGGGCCATCCGCGGCTCGTGCCGCTGCCGCCGCCGCCTCGGGCAAGGCCAGGGACGAGGACGAGGGCGGGAGCAGGAGGCAGTGCCGCGTCGACCAGATCCGTGCGGCGTTCACAAGCAGCGATCGCGAGACTTATGCGGCAACTCCTGGGAGCATCCCGTACCACCTGGCTGGCTCCTGCGAATCGACGCCGATCGACGCCGATCGACACTGAGTCGACACACGTCGGCGATAATCGGCGCTGGTCGACGGGAAACCTGTGCTTTCTCATTGATTACCACACTCAAGCGCACGCAGGTGCACTCTAAGAGCGGCAGTCCGAGGATATATATATATATATATATATATATATAAAAGGCTCCCATGGCTTGCTGCCGAAGCGGAGTGCTCTCCAGATGAGCTGCTGGAGCGCAACGCCGCCGCCACGCAGGTGCTCGCCAGGACGCCCACGGAGCAGCTGGGCGGCGCGGCTGCTGCGGGGAGGGGGGGTACCGCGGGAGGAGGTGAGGGCCTGGCCTTGTCGCGATCTGGCCCGCCGTGCGGCTAGCCTGATGGCTGGTGAGGGTGAGGGCCTACATAGCCTGATTGCTGACGTGCATTTTGCCGCAGACTGTAGAGCTTCTCGTCCTGTCCTCTTTTGCCCCCGCCCTTCCCCTTTCAATTCGCGCCACACGTCGGCATGTCAGTGCTCAGTCGGTTTAGACCGCGTCGCCCAAGGCGGTTCTGACACGTCGCTCACATGTTGACCGATCGAGCAACGTGCAGGGAACATCGGAGACCACCTCGCTGCACACGGTGTGACCCGTCGGCAGCAGAGACGGGAGGAGTATCGGGGAAAATCGGCTGGCAACCCTGCATGAGAACTCGGATTCCAAATCCGCATCCGAAGTCGAACCGGAATCGGAAGCCCTCGAAATCGGATCGAATCTTATCCGAAGATTCGGCATGAGCCCTGCATTGTGTGGCCCGTCGGCAAGAATAAATCCGTCGTGGCCTGACTCTGAGGTCGTCGGCGCGGCTGTGCCGCGCCGAGACCAGTGTTGCAATTCCCCGACCTCCCCGTGCACACCCCCCCCTGACCCTGGGAGGTTTTGGGCTCAAGGTTTTTGGAGCGGTTTTCCCAGACCCACAAAGGGGGGAACTTTTGGGGGGTTGGGGGGGGGGGCCGGCTCCCGCCGGACACCCTCCCTCAGGGAGGGTGTCCCTCCCTCAGAAAATGTTCCCCGGACCCCTTCCTAAGGGAGAATCCCACGAGACCTCTGGGCGTAGGTGGTCTTGGGAGGCTCCCATCCCAACCCCCTTCTTCCCCTTTGGGAAGGGGTTTACCCCTCCCCCCCTACCCCCTCCCCCTGGAACTGGACGGGGGTGGTCGCTGGTATTTGGAGCGTCCAAGATCACCCAATACGGCTCCAAGAGCGCATCGGCAAGCCCTAGATGACCTCCAAGATGGCTCAAGATGGCGCAAGATGCTTCAAGATGCCTCAAGAAGGCTTTCAAGATGCTCCAAGAAGCCCCCAGAAAGCTCCACGACGGCTCCCAAGAGGCCACAATCCGTCAAACACCTGGGGAACATCCATGAAGTTTGCTCTCTCGCCTTTTCGCTTCCGATGGCCATCCGAGGCCTCAAGATGGCTCCAAGATGGCCCAAGAGGGCACCAGGAGTCCCAAGAGAGCCCAACTACGGCCCCAAGAGCGCCCAAAGAGCGTTCCAAGAGAGATCCTGGAAGCGATGTTTGGGGCTCCCGAGGGGAGAGGCTAATTGAAGCTCCCCTCTATTTTGATCGATGTCCTCCAAGATGGCTCCAAGAGTGCCCCTAAAGCTCCCAAGAGCGCCCCAAGAGGGCCCAAAGAGGCGCCAAGACAGCCCCAAGAGGCGCCCAAGAGACCTCCAAGAGGCTCCCAAGAGGCCCCCAAGAGGCCTCAAGAGGATCTCCGAGGCATTCAACTCTCCCTCCTTCTCCTCCTTCTCCTCCTCCTCCTCCTCGTCCTCGCCCTCCTACACCTCCTCCTCCTCCTCCTCCTCCTCCTCCTCCTCCTCCTCCTCTTCCTCCTCCTCCTCCTCCTCCTCCTCCTCCTCCTCTCCCTCTTCTTCCTCCTCCACCTCCGACGACGATTCCACCTCCATCCTCCCCCTCTTGGGGTATATGACGGTTCCCCCTGCCAATTCGAGTATCGTTTAACAGATCCCCATCCCCAGCGGCGTGGCCTGGGCCCCACTGGCCGATTTACCCCCCTAGATGGGGAAATAGGTCGTTCCCTTCGGGTTTCGAGGGGTGTCCCCAACTGAGGGGGGGTAATGTGGTAGGGGTCTCCAAGGGGATGGGGATGGGGATGGGCGTCGGATGAACGATACTGACCTTTGCTGCCCACTTCCCTGATCACCTTAACTCCCCTGGGCTGACGAACGCACAACACACACCCATACCCATAAGGGCGGTCGTTGGGAGGAGGACTCGCTATGGGTATGGGTGCGGGTTGTCGGACCCTGGGGAACGCTCCCGTTCGAGCGGGGACCCCCATCCGACAACGCGTACCCATAGCCCTCTCCGACCCACCTATGGGTGTGGCTGTGTGTTGTTGGTTCGTGATGGGCATCGTTTCTGGATAGGCTGGTGGAGATACAAGTTCTTGGGGGGTTATGGAGTTTTTCCCTCGGAGCTCCCCTCCCTCTCAGGCGGGAATATTGAAGGGGTCAAGAGGTTTCTCCCGGACCTTCCCCACGGGGTCTTTGTTGGGGCAGCGTGTCCACGGGATGCTTTCCCGGGATTCCCCCCTCAGAATTGTTGTTTTGGGGGGCGAGGGGGCTTCGGTGAATTTTCTTCCCGGACCCCCCTCTCAGAGAGGGTTCGTGGGACGGTTCGGGAGTTTTCCCCCAGGCTCCCCCCTACTTTTGGAGGTAGGGGGGGTCCCTCTGGACCCCCCCTCAAAGGGGGCATTACTTTGAAAGGCTAGTTAAATGGCTTTCTTCCCAGACACCCCCGCTCAGGGGGATTTCGTTCTTTGGGGGGGTCGGGGAGGTAAGGGGAATTCCCTACCTGGAGCCCCACCTCAGGGGTGGGGGTGGGACAGAGGTTGTTGAGTATATGGGCGTTGTGATAGACACGAAGGCGGTTGAGTACCTGGGCTTTGAGCTGGAAACGGAGGCTCTTGAGTACAAGGCGAGGGCGGGCGGCGGGCTGGCGGGTCGGGAGTTCACCAGAACTCTCCCAAAGATGGTATCCTGCGGCGGGGCCTGCTGCACCGGATGGCGCGCGGAGGCCGTGGACTAAATCTGACTCGTTGTGTTCGGGGCAGAGGCTGTTGGGCATCCGTTGTACAGTCGGGCCGATGAAAGAAGGAACGCCAAATAAGGAACGAAGCCCCTTCTTGGCCCTGTAAGCGCCTCCGTGCCCTAGGAAGGGTGTTCGTCTGCCCGTGAAGGAAGAACGTTAATCATGCCCATACGGGTAAACGTGGCGCCGATCATGGCGCGGGCGAGCATGCCCTGGCAAACCTGCCACACATCATAGCTTCCCTTAGCAAGGGGGCACGCGTGTACAAAGAGGAAGCAGGCACGAGCTGAATCTGGGGGCAAGGAGGAACAGCAATGGAGGAATCCAAGGAACAGCGAGCGCCTTCCGAAGCCACACTGCTCCTTACGTCAGCGTCTCGACTGTACCCGCGCGGCGGAGGAACCCCGAGAGCAGGGCGAGGGCGGGCGCAGGGCCGCGGGGCGGCGGGCGGCACCAGGGTGTCGGCCGTGCTCCTGTAGCAGAGCTGGCGTCGTGCCGCGGGGGCCCCGTGCACTGCCGGGCTGCGCGCGTCGGAGCGGAGGCAGCCGAGCCCGAGCTCGACATGCCATCGTGGTGCACACCACACGTGCAGACACCTGGCGCACGCTGATACAGTCGAGGCGTTGACCCAAGGAACCCTAAATAAGGAACGAGGCCCCTATTTTCCATAAGTTGAACTCCGATTTCGCATCGAAGACCTAAGGAAATCCAAGGCAAGCTGCGAAACAATTAAGGAACACGGAGCCCCTCCCCTACGAAAATGGTTCCTTCTTCAGGGCCCCGACTGTACGGCTGGTTATTGATGTGAGGCCTGTGATGCGCGATCGTGGTATACGCGCTGACGAACAGTGCTCGCGCATGGTGATGACGTGTGTCCCTGGCGTGCATCCTGGGCGCTTGATCGGTACATGGTACTGATTTGCGACCGTTGGACCGTTAAGCTTCTATCCAATGGTGACGTGTGTCACTCGTAAAAGTATATGAGATAAGAAGTTGCGGTCGTGTGGTCTTTTACCAGTGTTTCGTTATTGGTTTGTTGTACTGGTACATGGCATTCATTCGTGGTCTTGGCCGAATTGCCCTGATGCACTGGTCGCCGTAGATTTGCGCCAGAAGGTGCCAGCTCCACCATCATCACGCCGAGCTCGTCGACTACCAGACGCCTGGGCCACACGTCGGGCCACCGATGTCTTGGCGCCCGTGAATCTGACCGTGTACCTAATGCTTGTGGGACCACCTTCCATCAATCAACTGTCTTCCGCAATGCTTTCATCCGTCATCTCCGAGCGAATACCATCTGCAACGGCCGTGGCAACGACAAGGGCCTGCGCACGAACGGTGATGATGACAGCGTCGATCTCTCTTTCGAACGAGCTGCCAGGTACGATGTGCCTGACTGGCGGGGGCTCCTGCTGGACGATGCCGAGCTTCCCTTGCAGCGCCCCGATGGAGAGCTCGGTAGCAGCCAGGCGGTTGCCATGCATCTGCTGGGTGGCCTCAACCACGGCCAGTATGGTGTAGACCTGGCACAACATGTGGTCGTATGAGTCGGTGGCGGTCTTCTTGAGCCCAGCCATGGCCTGGTTGACGCTGTTCGCGACGGAGTTGTCCGAGGCGAACATCGAGGCCCTGCTGGTGTTCACCAAGGGTCTTGAGGCGGCTGCCGAAGTCGCTTCTGAAGTCATCCCCTCGTTGCCTGACAGGACAATCCACGGCTTCGAGCGCGAGCGTCTCATGTTCGGAAGGCCGTGAAATGCGAGACCACCGTGCGGGAGCAGGCACCTGCGCAGCACCACTGCAGAACACCTCTCGACTGAATACAGGCTCCCACAGATAAACGCTGATGGGATGTGAGGAAGGGGACGCAAACTTACCTTGTCAGGTGTCTCGCACACCTGGGTCTTTGGCCTCGCGACGGATAAGGCCAAAGGCAAGCAGAGACAGCCTTTAGCAACCCCTGTTTAGCCTTGTGCCAAAATGGCCACGGGGCCTCCTTCCCCTCCGCCTCCTACTCCTCTCCTCCGCCTCTTTCCTCCCTCGACTTCTCCTCCTCCACCGCCTCCTCTCGCCCGTCCCCCTTCTCCTCCTATTCAGTAGTCCTTCCTCCCTCGCCCCCTCCTCCTCTTCCTCAACCTCCTGCTCCCTCTCCTCCTCCCATTCCTCCCTCGCCGCCTCCGCCTCCTCCTCCTCTCGGCCACGCGCAAGGAGGGGAGTAGGGGGAGGGGGGACGACTTCTTAGAAGCATCCCTGATCCTTCGAAGGCGTGGGCCTTGTCCGCAGATGTGAGGCCCGCGCCTTCTGAGAACCAGCCTCCTTCTAAGCAGCCTTCCCCCCCTCCCCCCTACCCCCCTGTGCGCGTCGCCGATCCTCCTCGTCCTCCTCCTCCTCGTCCTCCTCCTCGTCCTCCTCTTCCCTGTCCTCGTCCTCCTCGTCCTCCTCCTCCTCCTCGTCCTCGTCCTCCTCCTCCTCCTCATCCTCGTCCTCTTCCTTCTCCTCCTCATCCTCCTCCTCCCTCTCCTCCTCGTCCTCCTCTTCCCTGTCCTCGTCCCTTCTCCCCCCCAGGGCGCGCCCAGGGGCTCGCCATGACGGCGCCGTTGCCGAAACCCCTGAGCCTCAGGGCGGCCGCCAGAGGGCTGGGGACTCGGACGAGGGGGGGCAGGCGGCGGCCAGCAGAAGCAGGTACAGGGCAGTTTCTGATACATGGGATTTTTAACACTATAGGATGTTTGATCCGCCGAGGCTGGGTTCGGACGAGGGGGGTCGACGGTGACCAGCAGAAGCAGGTAGAGGGCAGTTTTTCATGCATTGGACTTTTAAACATATAGGATGATTTAAAACATGATTAGTTCATGAATGAATTCATGCATGAGAAAATTGTTTTTTAGTACTAAATCCGCGCATGTTTAAGACATGGTCCGCACGCGGAGCATGTATCAAAAACGGCCCTGTAGAAGCATCGAGTACGAATGCGCTCAACATACGCAACACCCATCACTTGCGTAGAAGAGCGAGGGGGCGCGCTCCGTCATCCTCCGGAGTCGTGCTCCAGACGCCCCCACACGTCGCCCCAACACGTCGATCCCAGATGCCGACCTCCCATCCGGCCACGTGCGCGCAAGGAGAGAGTAAGACCGCTCGGGGACCCCCTCACTGTTACTTGTTGGGCATCGACTTACTCTGGTTATTCGTGACGCGCTGAAGCGCGTGGTCTTTCTTTCGTTGAAGTAGGATGGCGCCTGAAGTATTGCACGGTCGGGTACTTCAAAGGCGAACCTTCCGCGGCCGAAAGTGCGGATGAGTCGGGAAACTCCAACGGCTAGCCGACGGCTGGCGAGTCCGCGGGATGTTTCGGGCATTGCATGCGCCCCAGAGTGCTCCTGGAACGCTCTAGAATCATTCTTGGGCTTACGCCACACCGCCGATTCCTTGGGGGGCTGGCGGCTGGTGCGTGTTGCTCCTCAGGGCCTTTTGGGTGCCTTTGAGAGGCTTATTGGAACTCTTTTGGGCCTTCGTGAGGGCCTCTTTTTTTGTTGCGAGGGATTCTGCATCGGCCATTCGCCGCTTCGCTGTGAAGCAGTACCCAAAATGGAACTGCTGGTCCAGCGGCCTCTCGAGCGCACCTGGTGAAGGCTGCCATGGGGAGGCAAGGGCTTCGTGAGGGCCTCTTCGGGGCTTCTTTGGGCTGCCGTTCTCAGTAGTCGACGTGCACGCATGGGGAACGGGCGAGAACCCACGTGTCCAGACGGCGGGCATCTCTCAAAACACCCGAAGAATGATGATCGAAGACGCCTACGGCGAATCACCGCCGCCCCCTGCCTTGTTGGAAGCGCCTATGTGGAGGAACGTCGAGGCCCGACCTGCCAAGCTATCGGACCATGTGTTCCCCGAGTCGGTTTGGAAAGCCTTCGGGGAACACGTGGTCATCTTGAAGGTCATCTTGGCCGCCTGGAGGCCGTGTTGATCCTTTCGGGCCTTCTGGGAGGACGTCTTGGAGGGCTCTTGGGCCGTCTTGGAGGCCTCTTGGGATGTCGTGGAGTCCTCTTGGGCCGTTTTGGGGGCCTCTTGGGGCCGTCTTGGGCCTCTTGGGCGATCTTTGGGGGCACTTGGGCCGTCTCGGGCTGTCGGAAGGCCGAACAAAAAGCATATGCCACAATCCTCTTCACAAACTCATGGGAAATCTATGGTTTTGGCCTTTTTCGGGCCTTCCTGTAGGCCCTCTTGGGGGCCTCTTGGGCCGTCTTGGGCCATCTTAGTGCCATCTTCGGCCGTCTTGGTGGGCCCCTGGTCCGTCTGACGCCGTCGGAAGCCGTTTGGGGGGCCTCTCTGGGCCGACTTTGGGCCTTGTTGGAATGCCCCAGGGCCGTCTTGGAGGCCATCTTGGGCGTCTTAAAAGCCTCCTGGGTCTTTTGGGGGGCCTCTTGGGGCCGTCTTGGGGGCCTCTTGGGCTGTTCTGGGGCCATCTTGGAGGCATCTTGGGCGATCATTGGGGGCTCCTGGGCCGTATCGGGTCGTCGGAAGGCCGAAAAGGCGCAAATACCAAAATCCTTCAAACACCTGTGGAACGTAAGTGTGTTTGGCTTTTTTCCAGGCCTTCCTGGAGGCCCTCTTGGAGGCCTCTTGGGCCGTCTTGGGCCAACTTCGAGCCACCTTCGGCCATCTTGGTGGGCTCCTGGCCCATCTGACGCCGTAGGGAGCCGTTTTGGGGCCTCTCTGAGCCGACTCTGGGCCCTCTTGGAATGCTCCAGGGCTGTCTTGGAGGCCATCTTGGGCGTCTTAAAAGCCTCCTGGGTTTTTTGGGGGCTCTCTTGGGGCCGTCTTGGGGGCCTCTTGGGCTGTTCTGGGGCCATCTTGGAGGCATCTTGGGCGATCATTGGGGGCTCCTGGGCCGTATCGGGTCGTCGGAAGGCCGAAAAGAAGCAAATGTCAAAATCCTTCAAAAACTTATGGAAAGTAAATGTGTCTGGCCTTCCTGGAGGCCCTCTTGGAGGCCCCTCTGAACCGACTTGGTGCTCTCTTGGGGTGCTCCAGGTCCGTCTTCGAGGCCGTCTTGGGCGTCTTGGAGGCCTCTTGGGTAGTCTTTGTGCCCTCTTGGTGCCGTCTTGGGGGCCTCTGGGGCAGTCCTGAAGCCATCTTGGAGGCCTCTTGGGCGCTGTGGGGGCGATCTTGGGGGCCTCTTGGGCCGTCTTGGGTCGTCGGAAAGCCGAGAAGAAGCGAATGCCAAAACCTAAGGAAAATCAGTGATTCTGGCCTCTTCGGGCCCTCCTGGAGGAACTCTTGGAGGCCTCTTGGGATGTCTTGGAGGCCTCTTGAGGGCCTCTTCGGTCGTCTTGGGCCATCTTGAGGCCATCTGAGGCAGTCTTGGGTGCATCTTGGGCCGTCTTGGAGGCATATCGGGGCCATCTTAGCCGTCTTGGAGGCCATCTTGGGCGGTCTTGGAGCCGTCTGGAGCAGGAACAACTTTTTGCAACAACCTCTGGGCAATCCTCCCGGGACCCCGGCGGGACGCGCGGGATGCCCAGGGGGAGAACCAAAACCAAAACCGAAATCGTCTAGCACGCCAGGGGGCGGCGGATCGAAGACGCCTGCGGCGAATCACCGCCGCCCCCTGCCTTTTTGGAAGTGCCTATGTGGCCGAACGTTGAGGCCAGACCTGCCAAGCTATCGGACCATGTGTTCCCCGAATCGGTTTGGAAAACCTTCGGGGAACACGTGGGCATCTTGAAGGTCATCTTGGCCCTTGGCCCGTCTTGGGCCGTCGGAGAGCTGAAAAGAAGAACATGCTAAAATCATCCAAAAACCGTACGAAAATCAATGAGTTTGGCCTCGTCGGGCCTTCCTGGAAGACCTCTTGGAGGCCCCTTGGGCCGTCTTGGAGGCCTCTTGCAGGCCTTTTGGGCCGTCGAAGACCATCTTGAGGCCATCTTGGGCCGTCTTGGGTGCATCTTGGAGCCATCTTAGCCGTCTGTGAGGCCATCGTGGCTGTCTTGGAGGCATCTTGGAAGCCATCCTGGGCCATCTTGGCCGTCTTGGAGGCCATCTTGGGCCAACTTGGGGCAACAAAACCATGACCCTTTCGGGGGCCGTCTTGGAGGCCATCTTGGGCGTCTTGGAGACCTCTTGGGCCGTCTTGGGTGCCTCTTGGGGCCGTGTCTTGGGCCTCTTGGGCGATCTTTGGGGGCACTGGGGCCGTCTCGGGCCGTCGGAAGGCAGAACAAAAAGCAAATGCCACAATCCTTCAAAAACCTGAGGATAATCAATGATGTTGGCCTCTTCGGGCCTTCCTGGAAGCCTTTTTGGAGGCCTCTTCGGCCGTCTTGGGCCATCTCAAGGCCATGTGCGGCCGTCTTGGTGGGCTCCTGGTCCATCTGACGCCGTCGGAAGCCGTTTGGGGGACCTCTATGGGCCGACTTGGGGCCCTCTTGGAATGCTCTAGGGCCGTCTTGGAGACCATCTTGAGCGTCTTGGAGGTCTCTTGGGCCGTCTTGGGGGCCTCTGTGGGCCGTCTTGGGGCCCTTTTGGGCCGTTCTGGGGCCATCTTGGGGGATCTTTCGGCGATCTTTGGGGGCTCTTTGGCCGTCTCGGGCCGTCGGAAGGCCGAAAAGAAGCAAATGCCACAATCCCTCAAGAAACCTATGGAAAATACATGCATCTGGCCTCTTCTGGCCTTCCTGGAGGCCTTCTTGGGGGTCTCTTGGGCCGACTTGGGCCAGCTTCGAGCCAACTTCGGCCATCTTGGTGGGTTCCTGGCCCGTCTGACGCCGTCGGGAACCGTCTTGGGGGCCTTTCTGGGGGCCCTCTTTGGGCGCTTCGGAGCCGTCTTGGAGGCCATCTTGGCCGTATTGGACGCCATTTTGGGCGTCTTGGAGGCCTCTTGAGCCGTCTTCGGGCCCTCTTGGGGCGGCCTTGGGGGCGTCCTGGGCCGTCATGGAGCCATCTTGGTGGCCTCTTGGGCGATCTTGGGGCGACCTTGGCAGCCTCTTGGGCCGTCTCGGGCCGTCGGAAAGCCGAAAAGGCGCAAATACCAAAATCATTCAAAAACCATTCGAAAATCATAGCCTCGTCGGGCCTTCCTGGAGGACGTCTTGGGGGCCTCTTGGGCCGTCTTGGAAGCCTCTTGCGGGCCTTTGGGCCGTCTTAGACCATCTTGAGGCCATCTTGGGCCGTCTTGGATGCATCTTGGGGACATCTTAGCCGTCTTGGAGGCCATCTTGGCTGTCTTGGAGGCATCTTGGAGGCCATCCTGGGCCGTCTTGGCCGTCTTGGGTTCATCTTGGGCCATCTTTGGGCGGAACAGGCATTGACTTGTGCAGTTTCCGGGTGGCCGGCGGGACGTGCCGGAGCCCCAGGGGAAGTTCTTTTGGAAAAGAACCAAAACCAAAACCGAGAAAGTCCAGCACGCCAGGCACCCCTGCGATGAATCGACAAGGGGCGGCGGATCGAAGACGCCTACGGCGAATCACCGCCGCCCCCTGCCTTTGTGGAAGCGCCTATGTGGCGGAACGTTGAGGCCAGACCTGCCAAGCTATCGGACCATGTGTTCCCCGAATCGGTTTGGAAAGCCTTCGGGGAACACGTGGGCATCTTGAAGGTCATCTTGGCCGTCTGGAGGCCATTTTGACCCTTTCTGGCCTTCTTGGTTGGAGGGCTCTTGGACCGTCTTGGAGGCCATCTTGAGGGTCTTGGAGACCTCTTGGGCCGTCTTGGGTGCCTCTTGGGGCCGTGTCTTGGGCGTCTTGGGCGATCTTTGGGGGCACTTGGGCCGTCTCGGGCCGTCGGAAGGCAGAACAAAAAGCAAATGCCACAATCCTTCAAAAACCTGAGGATAATCAATGATGTTGGCCTCTTCGGGCCTTCCTGGAAGCCATTTTGGAGGCCTCTTCGGCCGTCTTGGGCCATCTCAAGGCCATGTGCGGCCGTCTTGGTGGGCTCCTGGTCCATCTGACGCCGTCGGAAGCCGTTTGGGGGACCTCTATGGGCCGACTTGGGGCCCTCTTGGAATGCTCCAGGGCCGTCTTGGAGACCATCTTGGGCGTCTTAAAGGCCTCCTGTGCCGTCTCGATGCCCTGCTGGGCCGTCTTGGGGGCCTCTTGGGGCCGTCTTGGAGGCCTCTTGGGCGATCTTTCGGCGATCTGTGGGGGCTCTTGGGCCGTCTCAGGCCGTCGGAAGGCCGAAAAGACGGAAATGTCAAATTCCGTCAAACACCGTAGGACAATCAATGTTTTTGGTCTCTTCTGGCCTTCCTGGAGGCCCTCTTGGGGGCCTCGGGGGCAGTCTTGGGCCAACTTCGAGCCAACTTCGTCCATCTTGGTGGGTTCCTGGCACGTCTGACGCCGTCGGGAGCCGTCTTGGGGGCCTTTCTAGGCCGACTGGGGGCCCTCTTGGGTCACGTCGGGGCCGTCTTGGAGGCCATCTTGGGCGTCTTGGAGGCCATCTTGGGCGTGTTGAAGGCCTCTTGGGCCATCTTGGGGCCCTCTTGGAGCCGTCTTGGAGGCCACTTGGGCCGTCATGGGGCCCTCTTGGGGGCCTCTCGGGCGATCTTAGGGGCCTCTTGGGCCGTCTTGAGCCGTCGGAACGCCGAGAAGAGGCAAATTCCAAAATCCTTCAAAAACTTATGACAAATCAACAATTTCGGCCTCTTCGGGCCTTCCTGGAGGACCTCTTGGAGGCCTCTTGGGCCGTCTGGGAGGCCTCTGGGGGGCCTCTTGGGCCGTCTTGGACTCTCTAGGGCCGTCTTGGAGGCCGTCTTGGACCATCTTGGGCGGACTTGGAGGCCATCTTGGGCCATCTTCGCGATTTGTTGAGGATGTCCCGAGCGAAACGGCCGTTTCAGGCATTGACTGATGCAGTTTCCGGGTGGCCGGCGGGACGTGCCGGAGCCCCAGGGGGAGTTCTGTTGGGAAAAAACCAAAACCAAAACCGAGAGGTTCAGCACGCCAGGCACCCCTGCGATGAATCGACAAGGGGCGGCGGATCGAAGACGCCTACGGCGAATCACCGCCGCCCCCTGCCTTTGTGGAAGCGCCTATGTGGCGGAACGTTGAGGCCAGACCTGCCAAGCTATCGGACCATGTGTTCCCCGAATCGGTTTGGAAAGCCTTCGGGGAACACGTGGGCATCTTGAAGGTCATCTTGGCCGTCTGGAGGCCATTTTGACCCTTTCTGGCCTTCTTGGAGGACTTCTTGGAGGGCTCTTGGACTGTCTTGGAGGCCATCTTGAGGGTCTTGGAGGCCTTTTGGGCCGTCTTGGGGGCCTCTTGGGGCTGTGCCTTGGGCCTCTTGGGCGATCTTTGGGGGCACTTGGGCCGTCTCGGGCCGTCGGAAGGCAGAAAAAAAGCAAATGCCACAATCCTTCAAAAACCTGAGGATAATCAATGATGTTGGCCTCTTCGGGCCTTCCTGGAGGCCCTCTTGGAGGCCTCTTCGACCGTCTTGGGCCATCTCAAGGCCTTGTGCGGCCGTCTTGGTGGGCTCCTGGTCCGCCTGACGCCGTCGGGAGCCGCTTTGGGGGCCTCTATGGGCCGACTTGGGGCCCTCTTGGAATGCTCCAGGGCCGTCTTGGAGACCATCTTGGACGTCTTAAAGGCCTCCTGTGCCGTCTTGGGGGCCTCTTGGGGCCATCTTGGGGCCCTCTTGGGCCGTTCTGGGGCCATCTTGGAGGCCTCATGGGCGATCTTTCGGCGATCTGTGGGGGCTCTTGGGCCGTCTCGGGCCGTCGGAAGGTCGAAAAGAAGGAAATGCCAAATTCCGTCAAACCCGTAAGAATACAAAGGTTTTTGGTCTCTTCTAGCCTTCTTGGAGGCCCTCTTGGGGGCCTCGGGGGCCGTCTTGGGCCAGCTTCGAGCCAACGTCGGCCATCTTGGTGGGTTCCTTGCACGTCTGACGCCGTCGGGAGCCGTCATGGGGGCCTTTCTAGGCCGACTGGGGGCCCTCTTGGGTCACGTCGGGGCCGTCTTGGAGGCCATCTTGGGCGTCTTGGAGGCCATCTTGGGCGTGTTGAAGGCCTCTTGGGCCATCTTGGGGCCCTCTTGGAGCCGTCTTGGAGGCCACTTGGGCCGTCATGGGGCCCTCTTGGGGGCCTCTCGGGCGATCTAGGGGGCCTCTTGGGCCGTCTTGAGCCGTCGGAATGCAGAGAAGAGGCAAATTCCAAAATCCTTCAAAAACTTATGACAAATCAATAATTTCGGCCTCTTCGGGCCTTCCTGGAGGACCTCTTGGAGGCCTCTTGGGCCGTCTGGGAGGCCTCTGGGGGTCCTCTTGGGCCGTCTTGGACTCTCTTGGGCCGTCTTGGAGGCCATCTTGGACCATCTTGGGCGGACTTGGAGGCCATCTTGGGCCATCTTCGCGATTTGTTGAGGATGTCCCGAGCGAAACGGCCGTGTCAGGCATTGACTGATGCAGTTTCCGGGTGGCCGGCGGGACATGCCGGAGCCCCAGGAGGAGTTCTTTTGGAAAAAAAACAAAACCAAAACGGAGAGGTTCGGCACGCCAGGCACCTCTGCGATGAATCGACAGGGGGCGGCGGATCCAATGGCCTTCGGCACATCCCGCCACCGTGCCTGGGTTGTGGGTCTGAGGCCAGCTGATGGGGTCTCGTGGGGGGGGCGTTGTGCGGCTCGCTTGGGGCTCCCAAGGAGCCTGTTGGGGGCTTCATGGGGAAACCCAGAGGCGTCTTGGGGCCGAAGGCTCGAAATGTCCGTTGGGGTTCCCCCTCTGAGAGCCCCCTCTTGGGGCTGTCCTGAGGCCCTCCTGGGCCGTCTTGGGGGCTTTGGGGGCCGTCTTGGGGCGATCTTGGAAGCCTTTTTGGCAGTCTTGGATGTTGCGAACGTCCCAGAAGCGCATGTACGTTTTCCAATCGGAATGGGACGATGGTTGCTTTCGGAGGCCATCTTGGGACACTTTTCGGGGGCTCCTTGGGGCGTCCTGGGGGCCACTTGGGCCGCCTGGAGGCCAGCGTGGGCGCTTGGGATCGATCGTTCGGCTGCTCGTGGCCCTGTTGGATCGTCCGATAGGCCTCTTGGGGCCCTCTTGCCTCGTTTTGGGGCGCTCCGTTCCCCGGGTGGCGCGCTCGACTAGTCCCCGGAGGACCCCCCTCCCCCTCCAAATCGACCGGACCAGGCTCCTGGGGAAGGGGCTCGGGGAGGGGGGCGCATCTCACACGCCGATGAACCCCAAGGGGTTGGCGGACTTATCCGCACGCACGGCCGGACCTGGGACAGAAGAGCACCCTTTCAGAATACGAGACCCTCCGCCCGCAGAACACCCCAAAGGCACCCTCCCCCCAGGATGTGCACAAGAACATCCCACAAACACGAGGAGCACATACCCTCCCCGAATCGACCTCGATCCTGTGCCTCAGTCGGGCCGCACGTCTTTGTCTGCAACTGTCCAACGCGCCGCACCCTTGGCGCGCGCGGCCGCGGCCTCCGCTGGGCGAGGGGCCACGCAGCCAGCGCTGGTCACCGGCCTCGCTGTATCGCTCACTGGCGGGACCACCCCGAGGCTTGATGCCGACCCGCGGCTTCGCACTGCTTGCGGAGGAACAGACAAACGATCTTGCAGAGGGCGGAGGAGGAGGAGGGGGAGGAGGAGGAGGGGGAGGAGGAGGAGGGGGAGGAGGAGGAGGAGGAGGATGAGGAGGACCGCTGTCGAAGACCTGCCCTCTTCCCCCCCGGCGCGCCGCCGATCGATGCTCGACCCGCCGGACGGGCCGCTCCCAATATGCGCGCCAGCTCGGCATCGTCCCCCCGGCGGCCTGTTGCCCAGGACCACGGGCTCGGCCGGGTCGAGGCGCGCCAGGAAGGCCCGGAGGTGGCCCACGTGCAGGAACAGCATGTCCTGCAGAGGCCTCCCAGATGGGGTCCGAGCAGATGGGCTCGGAGGATCGCGCCACACCGCCGATGCGTCGGCGACGCATCGCCGATGTATCGACGATGCGGTTCGATGTGGCCCCCGATGCTCTCCACGCCGACGGCGCCGATGAATCGCCGACGGCGCCAGTGCATCGCCGATGCATCGGCGATACACATCGGCGATGCGGCGCGATCCTCCGACCACATCTGCTCGGATCCCATCTGGGAGGCCCAGGTGCTGCTCCCGAGCTGGATCCCTGTGCTACCTCTGCGCGAGTCGCCCCCCTCCCCTGCGGGCTGGCGCAATGCTGCGTGCACGGACACTGGGTGAACAGCTGATGCCTGAACACCCAATTCGTTTGGGAAGACCCGTTTGGTTTGAGATGACCCGGATGGGTTGGGAAAACCCAGGGCTTTGGTTTGGCAAGTCCCGGTTGGTTTGGGAAGACCCGTTCGGTTTGGGAGACCCGGGGGTTTGGTTTTTGGGGAGACCCGGTTGGTTTGGGAAGAACCGGGGGCTTGGTTTGGCAAGACCCGCTTGGTTTGGGAAAGCGCGGTTCGTTTGGTAAGACCCGGGGGCTCGGTTAGGCAAGACCCAATTGGTTCGGGAGGAACTGGGGGCGACACGAAGGCGAGACCGAAGGCGGGAACGAAGGCGGGAACGAGGGCAAACCGAAGGCGAAGCGAAGGCGAGAACAGGCCGAGGACGTGATCGGAAATCAAAGCGAAACGAAGGCGAGAACGAAAGCGAGAACGAACGCGGGAAGAAGCGAGAACGAACAGAGGGCGAAACGAAGGCGAGAGCGAAGGCGAGAGAGGGCAGAAGCGACAGCGAAATGGAAGCGAGACGAGGGCGAGACGAAGGCGGGAAGGGAGAGCGAAGACAAAGACAAACGGAGACGTAACGAGGGCGAAAACAAGAAAAGCGAGAACGAGGGCGAAAACGGAAGAGAGACGAAGACGAATTGGAGGCGAGAACGAAAGCGAACACGATCTCGGAAACGAAAGAGGAACGAAGGCGAATCGAAGGCGAAAACAAAACCAAACACGAGACGGACACATCAGCGAAACGAAAGCGACACGAAGGCGAAGACAAGACCGAAACGAGGGCGAAACGAAACGAAGGCGAGAACGAAGGCGAGAGCGAGAGCGGAAATGAAGGCGCAACGAAAGCGGAAAGAAAACGAAAACGAAGGGCGGAACAGAGTGCCTAACGGAAACGAAACGAAGGCGAGAACCAGGCGAGGACGTGAACGGAAACCAAAACGAAACGAAAACAAAACGAAGGCGAGAACGAACGCGGGAACGAGTCGGAATCGAGCACGACACGATGGCGAACGGAAGGCGAGAGCGAAGGCGAGAACGAGAGCGAGAGCGAAACGAGGGTGAAACAAAGGCGAGACGAAGGCGGGAAACGAGAAGGATACATAGCCAAACGAAGACGAAACAAAGGCGAGAACAAAGGCGAGAACGAGAGCGGAAACGAAGGCGAAAGAAAGCGGAACGAAGGCGAGAAAGTACACAAGAACGAAGGGCGGAAATGAGAACGAGAACAACGAGTTGGGTCGAACGGGCGGACCCTGACCGGCGGGTCGGGTCGAGCGGGCGTGACACGCAAGTCTAATGCATCATCGAAATGGCGCGATTGCAGCCTAACAGGCGGGTCGGTCGGGCGGACGAGTCGAGTCCGGCGGGCGGACCTTGACAGGCAAATCAGGTCGGGCAGGCGTACCCTAACGGGCGGGTTGTGCCGGGCGGGCGGGACATTAAAATATTATGCATCGTCGAATTGGCGCACGTGTGCCCTAACGGACGGGTCGGTCGGGCGGGCGGGTCGGGTCGGGAGGGCGGACCCTGACGGGCGGATCAGATCGAGCGGGCAGAACACTAAAATATGATGCATCATCGAGATGGCGCGCGTGCACCCGGCTTCTGGGGGCCCTCAACAGGCCCCGGGATCGTCACGACGAAAAAAACAGTCCTAGGGAAAGGGTCCAGAGCCCTGGGTGCCCACGTGGCCAAAAAAGCAACACTGGATCTGGGTTCTGGAGGTGCGCCGTCACCCCAAATTCGAAAAGGAATCCAGCCGTGGCGACGAAGACGACGACGACGGCGACGACGACGACGACGTCGAGGGCGACACGAAGGCGACGACGACGACGAGGACGACGACGACGACGACGACGACGGCGACGACGACGACGACGACGGCGGTGGTGGCGACGACGACGTCGACAACGACGACGACGACGACGGCGCGGCGACGACGGTGGCGACCACGACGACGACGACGACGTCGACGACGACGACGACGACGACGGCGACCACGACGACGTCGACGACGGCAACGACGGCCACGACGACGACGACGGCGAAGATGGCAACGACGACGACGACCTCGTCGACGACGACGAAGGCGGGAACGAGTTCGGAAGCGAGGTCGAAAACGAAGGCGATACGAAAGCGAGAAAAAAGGCGACAACGAGAACGGAAACTAGGGCGAAACGAAAGCAAAAACGAGGGCGAGAACGAGAGCAAAACAAAGGCGAAGCGAAGGCCAGAGCGAGGGCGAAAGCGAGAGCGGAAACGACGGCGAAACGAAGGCCACGAACGAAGGCGAGAACGAGGGCGGAAGCGCAGGCGAAGCAAAGGCGAGAGCGAAGGATGGAACGAAGGGCAAACACGACGGCGAAACGAAAGCGAAAGGCAAGCCGAAACGAAAGCGGGAGCGAAACGGAGGCGAAACGGAGGCGAGAAAGATTGCGGAAACGAGGGCGACACGAAGGCAAGAACAAAGGCAAGAAAGGAGCGCGGAAACCAGGGCGAAAGAAAGGCGAGCGAAGGCGAGAACGAAGACGAGAACGAAAGCAGAAACGAGGGTATAACGAAAACGAAACGAAGGCGAGAACGAGTGTGGGAACGAGGGCGGGCACGAGGACAGAAACGAAAACGAAACTAAGGTGAGAACTAGGCGAGAAGACCCGAGGGAGCAATTTGGGAAGACCCTGTTGGTTTGGGAAGACCTGGGGCGCTGGTTTGAGAAGACCCGCTTGATCTGGGAACACCGGATGGGTTGTTTTGGGAAGACCCGGTTGGTTTGGGAAACCCTGGGGGATAACTTGGGAATTCTGGGTCGGCTTGGCAAGACCCGGCCGGTTGGTTTGCGAAGATACGTTTGGTTTTAGGCAGCCCGAGTTTTGGTTTGAGAAGACCTGGAGGTCTGGTTCCGCAACGTCTGGTTTGGGAATACCTCTTTGGTTTTGGAAGACCCTGCCTTGTGACCACCTCCCACGTCTATCAATGTCCCAAAAGATAGTCCCACTAGGACCCCTCCAGGCTTCAAAGAGGGCGGGCCCTAAGAAAGTCCCAAAGGAGCCCTAAAGGCTCCTAGAATGGTTCAATTACGGCCCCAAGAGCGTCCAAGAGCGTTCAAGGAGCGTCCAAAAAGGGCCACAAGAGGTGTCTGCTCAAGCCCAAGATGGGCCAACCCTATTCCGCCCATCCCCTCTGTGTGAACGACATCCTCCCAGATGGCTCCAAAAAGGCTACCTTGGACGATGTCCTAAACGATGCCTGGGCATCGTCTCTGATGGGCTGGTGGGATACGCAAAGCGTGAATGTTCCAGATCTGCTGCACCACGCGCAATGAGGCTTGTGAGGTAGCAGAGTTGATGATCTTTTGGACCGCGAAAGAAGTCGGATCAATTCGAGTCGTCTGCTCCTCCTCCTCCTCCTCCTTCTCCTCCTCACCCTCCTCATAATCATCGCCCATGTCAGTATACCGCAGCACGTTAAAAGGGGCCTTGGGCCGCGGCGACGTCGATCTGAGTCGAGACCTCTTTCTCATCCCTCCCCCTCCTCTTCTTCCTCCTCCTCCTCCTACTCCTCCTTCTCCTCCTCCTCCTCCTCGCTCTTCCTCCTCCCAGGGGGGACAAGGAGGAAGTGCTTAACCATACCACTCGTGCTTGCTCTCTCTCTCTCTCTCTTTCTCTATTTACCTCTCTCTCTTCCTCCTATTCCCTGCCCGTCCTCCTCCGTTGTCCCCTGCGTATCTCTCCTCCCCCCCTGGTTCATGCCTTCGAACTGGTTTCGCTGACGAGGACAACTGATGAGACCGAGTAATGTAGGACGATAAATGTGTCATGGTGGGGCTGGCTCAAGAGAAGTTTGAGGATTCCCAGGGTATCTACCGGCCTTCGTTTCTGCAGCCCGCGTGGAACACTTGGAAATTATTCCCTGGTTGAAGAACCGAGGGCCAGGAGAAGACGCGAAGGCCACGACTAGCAAACCTACATCATCTGTCCTGCCAGCTCCACAGATCTGGAAGTGCCCCGCTGCCGCAAGAAGGTATTCCATCAAAACCTGTGGCTTCCCAACGGGATGGGCAGACTCGGCAACCAGTGGAAGATCTCCGTCTGTACTAGGGGGCAAACAAACCTACCTCGCTTTTGAACACCCTCGCTTCCAAGAGATACCAAGCGATGCCAAACTGCGGCCCGTACTGGTCAGGCCGCTTGACGAGGAGGCGCGTGGTATGACTTGGTTTTGCCTGGAAGCGAAAGCGGGGTAGGTAGTTCACGCTCTGATGTACGGCAGGTTCGGGTCGCGACGACGCCAACGTCGGTTTGCTACACCACGTGGATCGCTCAACCTGGCACGATTGCGGCTTTCCGGCAGCGTGGGTCGCTCGATGTCCGCCGACTCCTGGCCGCCGGCGGCATTCCACCTCACACGGCCCTGCCGGAGTCGCCACCGCGTCGACACGAGACGAACCAGAGCTAGAACTAGACAATGTTGCGGATGTCGGTCGTTATTGTTTTCCCTCGTTCTGTCTTCGTTATGCCTTTGCTGCGAAACGAACTGGGAACGAAAAAACGGTCAACGACATCGTCCAAACACCTATCGCATTCCTGTATGATACGTTTCCCTGTCCCAGCCTTCCTTCCCCCCAGATCAACGCCACATCGATCTGGGGGAGGAAACCCAGAGAAGAAATCAATTATCTCCGAGCAGAGGATCCTCCGCTGCCGACCCTCGTCTTGAAAAAGCTGCAAAATGGAGAGCACGAAGGGAATCAGAAGACAGCTCGCCGCTTGGGCCCCACCGGCCAGCCCAGACGCCGCGAGCCTACATCAGGCACATCCCCGTAGAAATAAAATCTGCCAAAGGCGCGCCACCCATTGACTGCGCTGTCTATGGGCTGCGAAATACTTATCTGGATTGCGCCATCGATGTGCTTCAGTCACCGTGCTACCATGAGAAGGAACACTGAGTAAGGAACAAAGGCGCTTTTCTGGCCATGGCGAGCCCTCGGCCACGAAAAGGCCCCCGACCCAAAGAACGGTCTGGAAACCGGAGCGCCTCCTGAGCCCAACGTGGCCTCTCCTTCCAGCGCCCCGCCTGTGCATGTGCTGCGCGCCCTCCCTCCCCCCCTCTCTCCCTCCCTCCTCCCCTCCCCCCTCCCCCTTCGCCCTTTCCCCCCCCCTTTTCCCCCCCCCCACACACACACCTCCCACCCTCCCTCCTCCCCACTTCCCCCCTTTCCCCCCCCCTTCCCCCCCCAACACCCTCCCCCCCCTCCTCCCCCCTTTCCCCACTCCTCCCCCTCGCCGAGGGGGCGGGGTCCTGCCCGAGCAGCACCCACCTGCACCCCGCCTGCTCCAGGGCGCCCCGCACGGCCCACACCAGGCCCTCCAGGTGCCAGAGCTCCTGGCGCGGCGCTCCGCCGCCGCCGCCGCGCGGCCGCTGCCCCGCCCAGGGCCACGGCCACGTCGGGGCCGTTCCCGTCGGCGTCGGCGTCGTCACCGCCGTCGTGCCGTGGGCGTGCGCGCGCGGCGCGCGCGGTGGCGGGGAGGGGCGGGAAGGGAGAAGGGATGGAGAAGGAGCGGGGGGGGCGAGGGGAGCAGATCACAGCAGAGGGGAGGCCGAAGAGATGAGGCAGAAGGGGGGGAGAGGGGGGGAGGCTGCATCCAAGTCTGCCTGCTTGACCGAAGGCCTGTGCGCTGAAGGCGGCCCGTCCTCCCAGAAAAGATATCCGTCGCCTGCTTCATCGCTGGTGGTGCTGCTGTCCAGGGCAGCTCCAGAAGCCTGGGACCGTAGGGGAGTGGCTCGGGGATCTGTTGAGGCTGCACGAAGTACTGACCTGTAGTCAACTCCAGCTGCGCCACTCGGTGCGGGATCATAGGGAAATCCAAAATTTCAATGCTTTGCACTCGCTCGTCCATCGGCTCCGAGACGACGAAACAGTCCAAGACCTATCTACCTTCTTGGCGATGTGAGTGGGCTTCCTAAAGCTGTAGACTCTGCCCGTGGTTCGGGTCGTAAAGTCGGACTGAAGCAACGTTAGTTGCCCGTAGTGGGAGTGATATTGAAATCACCTCCGCAGCGGCATCCGGAATCGCTGCTGCAGCTCCCCCGCTGCTGCTAGCAGCTAGGCGGTTCGCTGAAACACCCCCTCCGAATCGTAGGGGTGAAAAGACAACACTACAATATGACCAAACCCTGGTGTTTCCAAGGCGATTGCACTCAAACGATGAGGACTGTCGAAGTGAAAAACAGAGACAAGCTGAACACCGTAGTCGAAGCCGGCTCGGATCAAGATGGCCGTGCCGCCTGAAAGCCTGCCGCACTCGGACACAATCGCTGGTGTAAAGACAGCCTGCCAGTCCACTGAGCTGCCCCATGATGTTGCAGGTGAACCGCCGCCTGCCTGGCCCGAGCTTGCTGTTGCTGTGGAATGTGGAAGATGTTGCTGAGGAGGGTGCTGTTGCTGAGGCTGCTGGGGAAGAGGCCGCTGTGGCTGCTGCGGCTGCTGCTCATGTTGTGGTGGGCCACCTCCTCCCGCTCCTGCTCCTGCAGCCGCTCCTCTTCCTCCAGCCTCCGCTTCCGCAGCTGCCCCCACTGCCGCATCCGCTGCGCTCGCGTCGGGCGGAAGGGCGTTCGCAGCACCCACCACGGGCGGAGGTACGGCCAGCGCTGCCGCGGCGAAAGTACGGCCGGCGCTGCCGCTGCCGCCGCCGCCGCGGGTGCCCCTTCTCCCGCTGCTGCTGCTGCTGCTGCTGCTGCTGCTGCTGCTGTCGACGCGTGCAGCTCGAGCTGCCTAGCCTGCTCGAATTCCCTGACCAAGCCCTCCATGAGGCCCTGGAGTTGGGGGGAGGGCTGATCGCCAGGGAGGCTGGGGAGGTGCGATTGGGCAAAGCTGAGGACCCCAGCTTGAACTGACTGCTATACGATAGCTGCATTCCGAGTGAATACCAACTGGGGCCTCAAGGGCCTTGGCTTCTCCTTCGTACCTTCGGATATCTTGTTTCCCCTTGGAATGCTGATCCAGAAGCTGCGCAATATTGTCCAACAGCGTGTTGTTAGCGGAACGGGTGTTCTGTAATTCCTTTTTCTGTGCATTCAGCTGGTCGACCAAGCTTTTGAGCTGGCCCTACAGACTGCGAGACGACAGTGCTGAACGCTTTGATTGCTAAAACTCCTTGGTAGCCGCCTTGACCAAAGGATGCTCTGGGTCGAGGCCCGACCGTGTGAGGAAGCTGAGGTGCTCCTGTGCGAAACCGACGGGGTCGGGCGGCTGCTGCTGCTGCTGCTGCTGCAGTTTCAGTTGCTTCTTCGGGGGGGTCCTGAGGCTGCACCTTAGGCCTGGCGAGTGGACTGGGCAAAACTAACCTCACGACTGAAGCTATCACGATTGGCCCAGATCCATCTTTGGCAGCGCGAATTGCTACACTGGTGGTACGCACGACCTTCGGATGCCAGGGCAGGCACAAAACTCTGTGGAGAAAGACCACAAACAAGACTGCCTGGCAGGAAGATGGGGTACGCGTGCCTCGCATGCACCTGCTGCTGCTGCTGCTGCTGCTGCTGCTGCTGCTGCTGCTGCTGCTTAAGCGAGCTCGTGAAGTAAAGGAGCAGGCCCCTTGAGCCAAAATGGCTATGGAGGCGGAGGGGGAGGAGAAAGAGCACAAAGAGGAGAACGAGGACAAAGAGGAGGAGCAGCAGGAGGAGAAAGAGGAGGCGGAGTCTGAGGAGGAGAAGGAGGAGGAGCAGGAGGAGGAGAGGCGGACGAAGAAGAGGAGGAGGAAGAGTGCCCCTTCGCGCCTTGCAGGGGTGCCCTTTGCGGGGGTGCCCCTTGCGGGGGCACCGCGCGCCCCTGCCGTGGATCTCGCTCCTCGCGCTCCTGCGCCTCCGGGAGCTGCCCGACGCGGCCCTGGCCCCGCCCGGCGCGCTCGCCAAGGGCCGGCGCGCGGCCGGCGGTGCGCTGAGAGTCGGGGCCAAGCCCAGCTTCTAAAAGACTCCTCCTCCTCCTTTTTTTTGTTTGTTTGTTTGGGTTTTTTTTTTGTTTGTTCCTCCTCCTCCTCCTCATCGCTCCATGGGCGAGCGGGGGTCCATGCCTCCCCCCCTGACCCCACTCCGCCCTATAACGCTTCCCCTCCCTAGAACCGTCTGGCCTCACCGATCGGCGCTCTGGCGGCCCGCCGGCCGGGCAGTGCGGGCACCCCCGGGAGAACGCCCTCGCACGAGCCCCCCCGAGGCGCAGCCGCTGGAGGGCACCCCAAGGCTGGAAAACCGCCGAGGAGCCAAGCAGATAGCCGAAAACCTTGAACCCCCGCTGGCTGGCCATCTGGAGGCCTCCCAACCGGGGCCCGAGCAGAGGAGATCGAAGGAGAACGCCGCATCGCCCATGCATCGGCGACGTCGGCGTGGAAGACATCGAGCTCCTCATCGAGCCGCATCGCCGATGCATCGATGCGGCGCGATCCTCTGGCCCCACCTGCACCTGCTCAGACCCTCCTTCCACAGGGAACATAACATTACGGCGCGGTCCTTCGGCCCAGTCTACTCGGACCCTACTTGTGAGGCCCAAGCGTATCCCTTCCTGAAGCTGCCCCCTGCCCTCGCGCCCGCCCGTCCTGGCCCAAGACCTCCGCGGGCACCTGCACCTCGTCTGGGGCGCTGGGTGCCGCTATCTTTACCCCGAGCGTTTCTCGGCGGCGACGATAAGGGCGAATAGACTAGGGGCGGGCATTACACGTATTCGCGCGGGAGCCTTATAGATCATCGGCGCCCCTGATTGCATGTATCGGTCTCCCCTGGGCTATTCGCCCGTATCGTCGCCTGAGTCTCCTCGCTCGGCGACTCTGCAGGGTGTGGTATGCAGAGGGCGTGGCCTGCGGGTGGGGCAAATTGAACCCCCCTTTCTTTGATCGATTTCCTCCAAGATGACCCCGACATGGCCCCCAAGGCTCCCAAGATGGCCTCAGGAAGGCCCTGGAAGCGCCAAGGGGGCCCCAACATGCCCCTGAGAGGCCCCGACAAGCTCCCCCGAGGCACCCGATACGCTACAGGAGCCCCCGGCGCCATGAGGCCCCCAGCGTACCCCTGGGGGGGGCGGGCGAAGGCCTCGACCGAAGTCGCCGCCGCGCCCCCGAGGGGGCCCGATCGCCCTGGCATTCCTAACGAGTCATAGGCTCGCCCCGTCGAAGAGTTCGAGGCCCGCCCGCCGCGGCCACGAGGGCGCCGCGCACGGCCGCTCCGCGGGGGGGCAGGATCGGCCACCGCGTCGCCTCGGGACATCGGATCGAAGCGGAAAGTGCAACCAAAACTGGTAGCGAGGATGCGAGATGAGGATGCGGGCCCCTTGGACGCCCATGCCGGCGCTTCTCGGGCGGGCTTGGCCCTCGAGCGGGCAGGGGTGGCCCGAAGAGACAAGGATGCAAAGGTACTCCAGCCTGGGAAGGCTGCCCATCAAAGCCGTCGGCTCCGACTGTAAGTATGATCGGGCGGCGCGGAGTCGGAGTCGCATCGGCTCGGCCGCGCTGGGGCGCACAACAGCGCCGCGCAAGCGTCGGGCCGCATCGGATGGAAAGAACGTCGGCGTCGGATCGGATCGGGCCGTCCGGACTCGGTATCGCATCGGATTAATCGGAACGAAATGGACCCCGCAGCGGCGGCCCTTCTCTCACAATGCTCGGCGGCGCACGGAAGGCAAGACTTCTCAGATGGCGGCGAGGCTTCTCAGGAGGCCGTCCGGCCCGCGGGGGTGATTAATCGGGTGCCGCTTCATGGGAGGCGATAGATGAGGGGCAAGAAAGGTGCATTTCTCGAGCCCCACAGGGCCCCATTCCCAGGAGTGCAAAATGACATTAAATATGTTATAAATCCTTGCCACCTTCAAAAACAACCATGATACATTTTTGACAAGAAAAAATGTAACAGAATGTGCGTTACATTTTTCACACTATATGTATATGCTTGTTTGTTGTTTTAGTGTTTTTTGCTTCAGAAATCGGTGATGCCCATATGCCCGTATAGACATGATTTCAAAATCGTGCTCTCGCCGTCAGCGCCATCGCCCCCGTCCCCCCCTCCACTGCGCGCACGTGCGCCGAGAGCTTTATTTTTGCCCAAGGGCTTCCCCTCGCCCGCATTCGAGGCGCGAGTGCGCCCGTGAGGGCCGCGAGGGCCCTCCAGGGGCCATGTCGGAGGAGGATCTCGACGCGGCGGCGGCGCCGCCGCGCGGCAAAGGCGGGGGAAGAGGATGAAGGAAGGATCGGTCGTATGTCGTCGTCGGTCGTTCGTCGGTCGTTCGTCGTTCGTCGGTCGTTCGTCGGTCGTCGATCGTTGGTCGATCGTTCGTCTGTAGTCGATCGTTCGTCGGTCGTCATTCGTCGGTCGATCGTCGGTTCGTCGATCGTTCGCCGACGTCGCCGTGGACGTTCCGAAAGGAGGAGGGGGTCGACGACGGCGGCGAGGAGGGATTGTCGCCAGGCGACTCGATGATGTTGGCGACGGCCGTCCTCCCCATGCTCCAGCGGGCCGGGAAGCCGAGCTTCATATTATACGGGGAGGACGGCCGCAACTCGCCGCTGCAGATTGATAGGTTCACCGAGCCCGTCGTCCAGTTTTTCGGAGAAGTGATCAGGATTGCGCAGGGGGATGAAAATAGCAATTAGGCGAAATGAGTGAGGACAGGGTGAACATGAGATGGGGATGTTGATGATAAATGAGATGAGGCGGAGGCGGTAGCAGGATGAGAAGGAGGATGACTATGAGGAGAAGGAGTCGATCAATGACGAGTGACGGGAACTTCGGGAGGGTGGGGGGGTAGCTCCCAGGAAGAAGCAGTGCAGCGTCTCCGACCTGAAGATTAATGACATTGAGATGCAGGGGGCGCTGCACCAGGGGGCGCTGGCAATCGGGTTCGGGTTCAGCGACAGAGACATGTCAGAGTGGAAGCGGACCATGAGCAAGCGGATTCGCACCATGGTGTGCCATATCAGGACAGAACGCGAGAGAGACGATGGCGGGAGAGGATGAGGAACGGATGGAGGAAGATTAAAGGAGAGCAGGTAGGGATTACGATGAGATGAGCAGGAGAGAGAGGGAGAAAGAGAGATAGAGAGATGGTAAACACACACTATATATACACACCAAAAGAGGGAGAGAGAGAGAGAGAGGAGAAACAGAGAGAAATAGATATTGAGAGAGCGAGCGAAAGAGAGAGAGAGAGAGAGAGAATGAGAAAGAGAGAGAGAGAGAGAGACAGATATGTAGAGAAAGGTATCATGATGGAGACCATTGTAGTGGGGACCTCGAGGGGACAGGATACGAATACAGACCGAATGTTAGAATAGATGCAGAAAAACAGGGACACATATACACACATGTGCATACAGAGAGAGAGAGAGGGGGGGGGAGAGAGAGCCCGCGCCCGCAGGAAGTACCAGGGCAAAGACTTCGTCCGCAGGATCCAGGAGGCATCCGAGGGGCACTGCGGCGAGGCGGCATCGCCGAGGCCGTCGCCCAAGGTCGCGCTCAAGCGGCCTGCTGCTGCTGCCCCAGCGGCGCTGAAGCGCCCCGCCGCTACCCTGGACGATGGCGATGATGATGAGAACGGCGAGTCCAGGGGCAGTGAAGAAGATGATGATGATGAGGACGGCGAGTCCAGGGGCGGCGGTGAAGAAGATCCAGATGATGAGGACGGCGAGCCCAAGAACTACGTCGGGGGCAAGGACAGCGACAGCGACGGCCTCGGCGAGCCCAGCATGGAGGAGCGCATCGCGCACATGGTACATCAGGCTGTGGGGTGGTAGCGCGGTGGAGGGAGGGAGGGGATGAAAGCGAGGCGG